AGGCGAAAGGTGTAAAGAAGTCTGTTGTTAAAACAACTATAACTTTCGATGACTATGTTGAATGTCTGGAAACAGCCAAACAGAAAACAGTATCACAAAACTTGATTAGAGCCAAACAGTACCAGGTCCATTCAATCACGCAGAACAAGATAGCTCTCAGTCCAAATGATGATAAGAGATACATTATACCAGGAATCGATGAAGCGTTACCATGGGGCCATTATTCCATCAATGGTGAAGCAATGGAAATTGATAATTAATTAATTAATTTCATGTAAAATGTGTGATGAATGATTAGGTTAGCAATCGAACAAAAAAGAACCATCAGGCGAATTAATGAAGTGTTTCTATTAATTTAGGAATTAATCTTCGTGCTGTCTGCGAAAACATACATCAACTAATGAAGTGTTTCTATTTATTTAGGAATGAATCTTCGTGCTGTCTGAGAAAAATTGTTAACCTAATTATTTATCGCCGCAAGTGGTCAAAGTAGGTCTACCGGAGAGCTTCCCACTATAAAAAGAAGCAACGCGCCACAAGGCACTACCTCGAGGGTGGTGGGGAAATGTGCTGCTATTTGTATAGATTATTGAATATATTATATAATTTTATACATTGTGTTTGATTTCATACCTTTGTTATCTGTCAACAGTCCTCTGTCATACGTTTAATCGATGTTTAACACAAAAGTAGGGTGGTCTCTAACCATGGGCCACCCTGTATATTTTATTGAATTACTTTTCAACTGAAACATCCTGTATATAACCATTCATTTTTTTGTTAATGAACTGACAGCTTGCAGGTCGCCTGATGGTCACGTGTCATCTCTGTAATCTGTCACCGGCCATCTGTCAAACGTCATCTGCATACTTCATACGTTACTATGATTGCTAAGCCCCACATAAAGTGTGAGACATCTTGAATATATTTTCCAATTTTTATTCTACACTTGAACACCTACTTCATTCATCTTGTTATTGAACTGATGACTTGGGAGGTAGCCGGCTTGCAGGTCGCCTGATCACGCGTCATCGATCTTCGATATCTGTCATCGGCCATTTGTCAAACGTCATCTGCCATACGTTACCTATCTGTTTGCCGAGCCCACCTAAAGTGTGGTGGTCTACCAGTGGGACAGCTGTATATATTTTCAATTTATATTCAACTCAAACACCCTGTATATCGACCCAGCTATTGGCATCGATGTGTTATTGCAGTTCTTATCAGTAGAGCTCACTCGTTGGAGCCGGATTACCTTGAAAGCGTAAAAAATGACCAGAATGGACCTTAAAATCCGCTGAAAAAGTCCGTAGATCTAGGGAAAAATCTGCTTTGCTTTACATTGGCTCTTATGGGGCTTCCTGCCGTACATAGTGTAATTTCCGTAGAATCTAGGGAAAAATGACTTAGAATTTTGAAAATTGCGGGGAAACTGGTACAGCTCCTTTACTCCCCGGATTTTCCATTTAAACAGGGAGGAGTTATGGTGGCACTAGACAACCACTCCATTGTATCAATTATCTCAATATTGTTCGTCATTTGCAAACTTGCAGTTTGCCTCTGAATATTGTATGTTGAATTCTAAGAGAAAATAAATCAGTTACTGAATGAGCCTCAACCCGAGAACATCATTTTTTGACTCAAGTTCAGCTCATTTCTAAAGAGTCATTTCGACCGCTCGAACCCAAAACTCTCCAGAGGTATCCATGTGAGATTATAGAATAAAGATATACAGTGTGCAGACTGATGTCGGAGTATCTTCACTTGCCTATTGTTCTAGTTATATGTCCTTCGGAGTCATCTTATATGGTCAATGCGACAGTATTTACTATAGCTGTAGGCATATCAGATTCCACAATGTGAAGTTACAGTGTAAACATAGTCAAAGTCAAGGTTTTTTGTTCTGCCTGTTGCGTGCGTCAAAACCGCTTCGATGTCGTCTTATATGATCGTTGCGATCCAATATGCCTCGGAAGAATTCATGTGAGATTATAGAATACAGAGATACAGTGTGCAGACGGATTTTGTCGAAGAATCTTCACTTGCCTATTGTCCTCGTTATATGTCCTTCGAAGTCGTCCTATATGACCAGTACGATCGTATCTGCTATAACTGTAGGCATGTCAGATGCTGTAATGCGGAGTTACAGTGTAACATAGTCAAAGTCGAAGTTTCAAGTTCTGCCTGTTGTGTGCCTTATACCCGTTTTGATGTCGTCTCATATAATCGTTGTGATTTGATATGGTCCAGAGAGATACAGTGTGCAGAATGATGTAGTCGAAGAATCTTCACTTGCCTATATTAATCTCGTTATAAATCCTTCAAACTCGTCCTATATGATCAGTGCGATCGTATCTGTTTCAACTGTAGGCATGTCAGATGCTAGAATTCCGAGCCCCAGTATGAACATAGTCGAAGTCGAAGTTTCTTGCTCCCCCTGTTGCATGTGTCATTTTGATCCAGGAAACACCCGACATTAAGATTAGAGATTGATAAATTCGAAATTCTGGCGAACACGCTGTTTTACCGATTCTGGATTGTCAAAGTTTCTTGTTCTACCTGTTGTGTGAATTATATTCGATGTCTTATACAGGCTGATTTTGAAATGAGTGCATATATTCAAGACATATATATGAGAGAGTCTAACAAAAATTACTGAAATATTTGATTTTTCCTAAGTCTTCACATTAACGAGAAATTTCATTTTGAAAATTGAACATAAAATGCTTCGAAATTCGAGTACGCCACTGGGAAGCGAGTGAAATCTGCGGAATCCCAGGGAATCCCTAATTCGTCATTCACTAATGTCAAAACAAGACAGTGATGCCAGATTGTTTCAGAGACGAATATCCTGATAAAAATTTGTCACAGAATGAAGATGAATCGGAATAGGTTATGGAAACTAATAGAGGTGAATGTAATATGTACAGGAGCCTTATTTTTTGAAGTTTACTGAGAGAACTGTGGGGTGATTATCTCCATGGATCACGAGAGACGGAGAGAAACATGAGGGGAATGATAGAACGTCCCCCTTCCTTCAATTCGAAAATAAGGCCCCAGCGGGTAGATACAAAATTAGCAGACAATAAATAGGTACACAACATACACAAAGTTGAAAATCGACTCACCTAGTAGATTTTCTTATACCTGCTCGAACAGCAAAACTCCCGAGAGCAAACAAATACTAATATCGAGTCCATTCCAGACTAATATCGTCCTGTGTTCTTGTTGGTTCATATTCGCACTTAAACCATCGAAAACGACTCGACGACGACATATCCTTCCTGGCAATCTCACATTGAAAATCACGACCATATCACGATTATCACGACACAAGACACAACATCCAATTATTTTATTTTTTATTTTACGTTTACAATTATTTTACAAACCAGCAACCACACAAACAAAACTATTATCATATGATCTGTCAACATCATTTCTCAGAACAGTAGTATCTGTGACTGTGACCATAGATTTCCTCTTTGCTGTGACCTTTGACAGTACTAACTAGGATTGTTCGCGTTCTATTACTATTTCATGAAGATTGTTACGATATTACGATTTGTCATGAATCTATTACTATTTGCTATTAGCACCAAAATATGTTCCAATACTTAAAAATCTATTTCTGTGCTCAGCGGATGATTATGTTCCGTTCTATGTTCTATATTTATGTCAAAACTGTGATTAGTGCGATAGGGTTTGACAAGAATGACATTCCGAATGTCAAATGTCAGATTTTTCGAGTCTATCACCTTTTGATACAAATCTGATACTTTTTTCCAAGGAAATCTATTACGAAAAAATCAGATCCAGGAACAACTCTGACTAGTAAATGTAAAGATTGATGAAATGAACATCTGGTGCGCTCACTCTTCATTTGTTTCGTCAGACTGGTTCTTGATATAAACAATTGAATTTCAGACGATGACGATGAGGTTTATCTCATCAATATGTAAAGTTCTGTTTCTGACAATTTGCTTGGAATGTGACGATGACGATGCATTTCTCAAACATTGAGCTGAATGATATTGTGCGGGGCACCTCGAAGACACGAAATTGTAGCGGTGCAAGGAGGTGGAAGGAAGGGTCTAAAGGATTTTTCAGTAAAAGAACTTCCAACCGTGAGGTGTTAAGTTATACGCTATTCGAGCTTATGTGTAGAAGTCTTGGGTGAGTCCATTTCAAAGTTTTTGTATTATCTTTCTGAAATTCAAGACCAGGTTTAACTACTTCCCCATGTATGTACATTTTCTCGATTATACATTTTATTCAATATCTCCTAATTTCCATGTAGAGTGGCAACGTCGCTTCGTTCATCACGGTCGACTGCGGATCGCAAACGATATAGTTGTGACAGAAGTAGAAATCTGGGCGGAAAAAGGGTATTTTGCCCCAAATCTATTTTGATCCTAATAATATTTTTAATAGTGCTATTCGGCAGTATACCTCAAGCTTTCTTAGTGTTCAAAATATATGCACTTATTTTAAAATCAGCCTGTATAATCGTTGCAGACTGATATGCTCCAGAGGTATCCATGTGAGATGGAAGAATACAGAGTGCAGACTGATATAGTCGAAGTATCTTCACTATCCCATCAATCTCGTTATATGTCATTCGAACTCGTCCTATATGGTCAGTGCGATCGTATCTGTTTCAACTGAAGGCATTTCAGATGCTAGAATCTCGAGCCACAGTGTAAACATAGTCGAAGACGTATTTTCTTGTTCTTCCTGTTGTATGCGTTATTTTGATTCAAGGAACACTCGACAATGTCTACCTATAAGATGTATAACCGACTTATTATTAAGATCGATGAATTCGAAGTTTTGGCGGACGCCAGTTTTCCGACTCTGGATTGTTGGAATCGAAGTTCTTGGTGAATATGAAAAAGTATAGTACTCCACTCGCATATATTGTGCTGTTATATATGCTCCTCGAATAGGCATTACTGATGATATAATGCAGAGTTAGAGTGTAAAAATAGCCGAGATCGATGTTTCTTGTTTTGCATGTTGTGTGAGTTATACCCGCTTTGATGTCTTATATGATCGTTGCGAACTGATATGCTCCAGATGTTAGATTATAAAATACAGAGATATAGTGTGCAGACTGATGTCGGAGTATCTTCACTTTCCTATTGTTCTCGTTATATGTCCTTCGAAGTCGTCATATATGGTCAGTGCGATCGTATCTTCTGTAGCTGTAGGCATGTCAGATGCTAGGATGTGCAGTTACAGTCGAAGTTTATTGTTCTGCCTGTTGTATGCGGTATTACCGCTTCGATGTCGTCTTACATGATCGTTGCGAACTAATATGCTCCGAAAGTATTCATGTGAGATGATAGACACAGAGATACAGTGTGCAGACTGATGTAGTCGAAGAATCTTCACTTGGCCATTCATCTCGTTATATGTCCTTCAAACTCGTCCAATATGGTCAGTGCGATCGTATCAGTTTCATCTGTAGGCATGTCAGATGATATAATCTCGAGCCACAGTGAAAACATAGTCGGGGTCGAAGTTTCTTGTTTTTTTTTGTTGTATGCATTATTTTCATCCAGGAAACACTCGACAATGTCTACCTTCGAGATGTATAACGAATTTATTATCAAGATTGATAAATTCGAAGTTATGGCGAACACATCCGGTTACCGACTCTGGAATGTTGGAATCGAAGTTCTTGGTGGATATGAAAAAGTACTCCACTCGCATATATTGTGCTGTTATAAATTCGTCTTGAATAGGCATTCCAGATGCTAGAATGCAAAGTTACAGTGTAAACATAGTCGAAGTCGAAGTTTCTTGTTCTGCCTGTTGTGTGAGTTATACCCGCTTTGATGTTTTATATGATCGTTGCGAACTGATATGCTCCAGAGGTATCCATATGAGATGATAAAATACAGAAATACAGTGTGCAGACTGATGTAGTCGGAGTATCTTCATTTGCCTATCAATCTCGTTATATGTCGTTCAAATTCGTCCTATATGGTCAGTGCGATCGTATCGGTTTCAACTGTAGGCATATCAGATGCTAAAATTCCGAGCCACAGTGAGAACATAGTCGAAGTCAAAGTTCCTTGTTCTCCTTGTTGTATGCGTTATATTGATCCAGGAAACACTCGACCAGGGTCGGTTTACCGAATCTGGATTGTTGGAATCGAAGTTCTTGGTGGATATGAAAAAGTACTCCACTCGCATATATTGTACTGTCATGAATGCTTCTTGGATAGGCATTTCAGATGCTAGAATGCAGAGTTACAGTGTAAACATAGTCGAAGTCGAAGTTTCTTATTCTGCCGGTTGTGTGGGTTGAATCCGCTTTGATGTCTTATATGATCGTTGCGAACTGATATGCTCCAAAGGTATCCATGTGAGATAATAGAATACAGATATACAGTGTGCAGACTGATGTCGAAGTATCTTCACTTGCCTATTGTTCTAGTTATATGTCCTTCGGAGTCATCTTATATGGTCAGTGCGATAGTATCTACTATAGCTGTAGGCATATCAGATTCTACAATGTGAAGTTACAGTGTAAACATAGTCGAAGTCAAAGTTTTTTGTTCTGCCTTTTGCGTGCGTCAAAACCGCTTCGATGTCGTCTTATATGATCGTTGCGATACAATATGCCTCGAAAGATTTCATGTGAGATTATTGGATACAGAGATTCAGTGTGCAGACGGATTTTGTCGAAGAATCTTCACTTGCCTATTAATTGTCCTCGTTATATGTCCTTCGAAGTCGTCCTATATGGCCAGTACGATCGTATCTGCTATAACTGTAGGCATGTCAGATGCTGGAATGCGGAGTTACAGTGTAACATAGTCAAAGTCGAAGTTTCATGTTCTGCCTGTTGTGTGCGTCATACCCGTTTTGATGTCGTCTCATATAATCGTTGTGAACTGATATGGTCCAGAGGTATCCATGTGAGATGATAGAATAGAGAGATACAGTGTGCAGACTGATGTAGTCGAAGAATCTTCACTTGCCTATTTATCTCGTTATAAATCCTTCAAACTCGTCCTATATGATCAGTGCGATCGTATCTGTTTCAACTGTAGGCATGTCAGATGCTAGAATTCCGAGCCCCAGCATGAACATAGTCGGAGTCGTAGTTTCTTGATCCCCCTGTTGCATCTTTGTGTTATTTTGATCCAAGAAACACCCGACATTAAGATTAAAGATTGATAAATTCGAAGTTTTGGCGAACACGCCGGTTTACCGATTCTGGATTGTCGGAGTTTCTTGTTCTACCTGTTGTGTGAATTATACCCGCTTCGATGTCTTATATAATCGTTGCAGACTGATATACTCCAGAGGTATCCATGTGAGATGGTAGAATACAGAGATACAGAGTGCAGACTGATGTAGTCGAAGTATCTCCACTATCCCATCAATCTCGTTATATGTCGTTCGAACTCGTCCTATAGTTATGTTCCTGAAGCCGGACCTGTCAATGGAGACAATGCGATGACATCCAGAATGCAGAGTCAACTTCCTACCGGACTTTATCTTTCTATTTTTGGTGAATATTTTCATACCGTGAATTATCTTCTAAATCATAATATGAAAAGGAAATATGTATTTTATCGAACATTCCATTTTTGTCACTTGTAGCCTGCATTTTCAACTTCATTAAAAACGCATCGAGAAAAGACGATCCTTCATTGTGTGTTGAGTGAATGTTGAGAAAGGGTTATTCAATACAAAATTGGTTTCAAAACTACGACGGTGCTTCTACGAACCACAACTGCTAGGGGCACAAACGTAACTGGCGCAGTCGGCGACGGATTTTGGAAAAACCAAGATTCAAAAACCACCACCAGGGAAAATTTCAGAAGACGAGTTAACATAGTGTGGAGAAACTGCAAGCAGGAAGATCCAATAGTGTTTCAACAAATCTTCAGTGAATTTCCAAAAAGACTCCAGTACCTGCAAGTGAGGACAGCAATCCAACTTGGAGAAACGGGGTGCAAATCTGAATATCCCAACAGAGGAACGAATCAGAGGACCACTATCAACCACTTCGAAGGACAGCATTCCCTAGATTGGTTCAGGATTAAGAAGAAAGAAAACCAAGAAAACGAAGACCCAAACAACCTAGATGTAAGTCATTCTCAATTTTTCCTTCACTTCCTTTTCCTACACTGTGAAAAGTTATTCTCTCTTAATTTTTTATGTTCAACGTAGTCAGAGAAATATCACAAAAAAACCGTGAAATCCGTGAACAGCGTGCTACTTTAAACCAACAAAACTATAATTTAGTTACTGAAAGTAACGAGAACCTAAATCTTGACTCCCTTTTTCAAAGTTTCGCTAATTTGAATTTGGAAAGTAACGAAACTGATTCTATAATGTCTATCAACATGAACTATCAACAATTGAAACTCTTTTTGGATATCATACCATATTTTTCTGGTGATCCTTGTGAATTGAATAATTTCTGTGCAGCTTGTGATGAAACCTTTATTCAATATGATGCAGAACCTGCATTCATAAAAAAATCAATTTTGAGAGGTATAATCAGCAAACTGAAAGGAAAAGCTTCAACTTTGATTTCGAGTAGAAATGAATTAACAGAATGGGCTCAAATTAGGCACCTATTGAGAGTCTCATTTTCAGATCAACGATCATTTGCATGTCTCTCACAAGAACTTCATAGTTCAAAACCAAATCCAAAGGAGAATTCATATAATTTCGGTATCAGATGTCAATACTCCAGAAGTCTTATTTTCTCATCAATTAATAATGACAATACTCTCACAGTACATGAAAAAAGTGCTCAAATGAAAAATATTGAAAAATTAATTCTCGTAACTTTTTTGAAATATTCACCATCCACAATTCAGACAGTAGTGAGAATGAAAAATCTCAGTAGTTTGGAAAAAGCACTCAATCAAGTTCTGGAAGAAGAAAATTTCTTGTCTCTAGTTAATGATGGTAAAAGGAATCAATTTCAGTCTATTCCTCAACCAAGTTTCAAAACACCTCTAGTACCTCAGACACCTCAACATTTTGTATTACAAAATAAGTTCCCGAATCAGAATTTTGCAAATCAAAATAGAAATTTCCTAAATAAAATTTTTTCGAGTCAAAATAGAAATTTCGCCACTCAAAATTATTCAAATCAGAACAGAAATTTCCCAAATCAAAATTTTTTGAATCAATATCGTAATTTTCCTAGTCAACCAATACAAATTCAATCACGACAAGTACCACAAAGGTTTTTTACCAATCAACAGGTTTTTGGAAAGCCAAATCATGCAAATGTTTGGAAACCAAAAAATCAGGAACCTCATAATAAACCAACACCTATGTCTGTAGTTACAAGAAATGTCAATTCTCTGCAAAATTCAAAACAAAGGAATTTTTTCCAACCACAATCGAGACCAACTCTCATTTCTGAAGAAATTTATCAAATAAATGAACCTCCAAATGAAAATGAAAATAATTTTGAATCTATTCAAGAGCAAACAGACCCTTTGAATTTCATTGCTGATGATTACCAATACACAAAATAATATTGAGAGGCAATATGAATATAATGAACAGATTTTTGAAACAAATAACGATCAAGCTTTTGAGGACCCAATTCAAAATTTTCCTGTAACAGCCTTTGGAACGGAGACAACTTAGAAATTCATAACATTGAAGATCAAAGGAAACTTCCATTCATTGGAGTTTCGATTCCAAATTTCAGACCATTGAAATTACTCATAGATTCTGGAAGCCACATTTCACTTTTGAATCCGGCACTTGCGGAGAAATATTTTGCAAAATATGTTTTCAACAAGCCAAATATAATAAGAACATCCTGTGGACAACAATGTTCCAAATTTGAAGCACACATACCAGCGTTTTCAGAATTTCAATCTGAAATGAAAATTATTTTTACTCTTTTCGATTTTCATCCATTTTTCGACGGCTTATTGAGTTTCAAAGATATCAAAAATATGGGATTCAACTGGAATATTCAAGACGGTTACTTGTACAAAAATGATATTGCAATTCAAGTTTTTCAATGTTCTCCATCTGAGTATCATTGTTATAATATAACTGTAGGTGAAAGTGAAATTTTCAGAACTAAACTTCCTGTAAACACATTTTTCGATGGAACTTATTATCTATCTCAAACAAATTTGAATGAAACTTGTTTTATCCCTGAAAGCATAACGACAGTAGAGAACGGTCAAGCAATAGTTGAAATTCACAATTTAGGCTCTAAAGATATTCACATTAATTTGACATCACCGCTTCAAGTATATCCAATTGATGGATTCGAAATTTTTCAATCAGAATTTGATAGAAACAATCCTTACCCGAATGGAAATGAAATTGAAGATTTATTACGCTTAAATCATTTGAATTCAGAAGAAAAATCAAAGATTCTCAAATTGTGTAAAACATATCATACCATTTTCCACTACCCTGATCAACCGCTTACTTCTACTACTCAAACCACCCATAAAATCAAAACGATAGACGAAGAACCAATTTATACAAAATCATATAGATTTCCGGAAATCCACAAGAAAGAAGTAAATAAACAAATAACACAAATGTTGAATGACGGCATCATTAGAAATAGTTCAAGCCCTTGGTCAAGCCCTATTTGGATAGTATCAAAAAAACCAAACGCCAGCGGACAACAAAAATAGCGAATTGTCATTGCCTATAGAAAATTGAATAACAAAACAATACAAGACAGATTTCCTATTCCCAATATTGACGACCTTTTGGAAAAATTAGGGAAAGCCCAATATTTCACTACACTAGATTTGGCCAGCGGTTTCCATCAGATAAAGATGCATAAAGACTCTATAGAAAAAACAGCCTTTTCAACTGACCTAGGACATTTTGAATTTTTGCGCATGCCATTTGGATTGAAAAAGTCTCCCTCCACTTTTTCTCGTATGATGATGGAGGTTTCAAAAGATTCGGTAAACAGGATTTGTCTAATATATATGGATGATGTGATTATTTTTTCTCCAACTCTGGATGAACACATTCCAAATATAAAAGAAATATTTGAGAAATTTCAACAACATAACCTCAAAATCCAACCAGATAAAAGTGAATTTTTACACAAACAAGTTGAATTTTTAGGACATATCATTACAACTGAAGAAATAAAACCTAATCCAAGAAAATTAAGAGCTATAGAAAACTTTCCAATTCCAAAAACATACAAAGAAATTAAAAGTTTTTTAGGTATGATAGGATTTTATAGGAAATTCATAAATAATCTTTCAAAGATAACAAAACCATTAACTCAATGTTTGAAAAAAGGTAAAAAAGTTGAACACACTCAAGAATTTATACATGCATTTGAAACTTGCAAAAAACTTTTTTGTAATGAACCAATTCTAATACATCCAGATTTTTCGAAAATCTTCACATTGACTACCGATGCAAGTAAATATGCCATAGGCTCAGTTTTATGTCAAGATGGTAAACCAGTTTGTTTTGCAAGTAGAACATTAAATCCCAATGAAATCAATTATTCAACTATAGAAAAAGAATTGTTGTCAATAGTTTGGTCAGTTAAGTAACCTCATGTTATCCAAAAAAGAGGACTCATCAATTTAGGTGGAAAAATTAATAAATGGCTTTTCGGTACTTCAGATAATGGAGATGGTGAAAGAATAAATTCAATGCTTCAGTCTTTGAATGAAAATGATCAACTCATTCGAGATGAATTGATCAAACAAATGTCTTTAGCTAAATAAATTATGTCAAAAAGTAATGAAACATCTCATCAAATTAAATCCAATATATATAAAGGCTTCAATTGATCAAAAATTTCCAAGATCAGGTTAACGAAATAAATGCTCAACATTTGATAATAAATTCTCTTATAACTTTTCAAAGTCAACTCAATCAAATTATAAATGCCATTACTTTTTCAAATATCAATGTGGTCCATCCAACTTTCCTTTCTTTATCAAATTTCTATTCTATCATAAATAAAATGAATCAACTTTATTCGTCGAACCAATTGGTAAAATTCAAAAATCAACATAGTTATTATAATTTTCTAGGGATACAAACATTATTTACTTCTAAGAGAATAATTTTTCTAATACATTTCCCGATCTTGAAACCTGTACCATTCAAAACTTATTTTATTCATCCAGTCCCTATCCAAAATAAAATTATGTTACCATTGAAACCTTACCTTATCCTCAATGAGAATGATGGACTACATCAATATCAAGAGGAATCATGTGAAGAGATCGAGAGTGTCTTCTACTGCAAGAACAACCTACAAAGAGAAGAAAATTGTATCACGAATATCCTGATCAAGAATGCGGCAGCGAACTGTTCCATGTATGATGTAAACTTTGGCAAGCAGTTGACAAACCAATTATCTCCAGACACCATTCTATTCTCCACTCCAGTGAATACCGTAATTACTGAGAGCTGTTCCACTGAAAATCATCACGAGATCCAGCCTGGGAGTTACCTCATATCCATTCCTGAATGAAATGAATGATTATTAATAACGAAACATTTCTACATGGGCCAGAAGAACTTTCTCCAGCAAAAATCATCCAATTACCTTCAGTGAATATATCTCAGATATTTCTGAGTTCGACAAAAATTTCAATCTCTAAAATGGATTTTGATGAAATCAAACCAAACATCTAACCTCCACTATTAATCCCCAACATCAGTTCCAGCTTTCCCACGAGCAGAATATTAATTCTGACTCCTCACCTGTATGGATAATTATCCTCATTTACATATTTGTATGCATCATGATTTTCTATGGAATAGCATGTTACTATAAAAATTGCTATCCATTCAAGTTATGCCAATATCATCGTTCATCTCGGAGCCAGCCACCATTCCACATGGAGGACATGAAGCCTGACCAACCAACCCACCCTCAGTCTTCATCTTAGGAAGGGAGGAGTTATGTTCCTGAAGCCGGACCTGTCTATGGAGACAATGCGATGACATCCAGAATGCAGAGTCAGCTTCCCACCGGACTTTATCTTTCTATTTTTGCTGAATATTTTCATACCGTGAATTATCTTCTAAATCATGATATATAATGATTTTATGAAAAGGAAATATGTATTCTATTGAACATTCCATTT